ACCGAGATGGAATGACTGGGCTTTACAGGAAGGATTTTCACAGATCGGTCAATACAGCAGTATCTGCAAATCTGCATGCAATACGGGCGATTTGGACGATGAGCAGCAGTCGAGCCCGTGCCAGAAATACGGGAGCCGAACGCACAGGAATTGCGCTGCTTGCAGTGTAGTGGAAGCCTAATTTTGTGTGCATTGCCTCAGGCGATGAGCATGGACGTCAAATGCCCAAAGTGACTGAAAACGGCCCTTTTAGGGTGTTGCCTACTTCGTTCTCCAGCCAATTCTAAGGAGGGATGACTCCGTGGATGAAAGAAAACTGGCAGATAAGTCCACGGGCACGCGATTTCGAGAGCTTCTTGCTATAAATGAACTGCTTCTTCTGTGCCACGACTTTCTACGGCGGCTAGAAATCTACGAAACGATACCTCAGTATCAAAGTACACCATGTTGCGCATCCATTGGAAGATGCGCTGCTTTTTGAACGTTGGCATACCAGATAGCTGTTTACATTTCTTCTTGATATCCTTAACGAGATGGAAACGACAAAATATCACATAACAGGACAGAAAGTATCCTGAAAACGCGTTGTAGTGAGCCAAGCTACGATCAACTACCATAGTCTTGCACTGTGCAAAGACTGGGCACATAGCTTTCATGGTTCCCACGGCAGATTTATGGCTGTCGCCGCTCTCGTCCGGTGAGATAGCGTAGAAGAAACTTCTACCTGAACCGGTGTCGTCTGCAAGCATAGCATGCCAAAGCGCGTACCCGCCACAATTTAGCTGATGTGTGGCGTCCGCTAACAAAACATCATTAAACCTGGCGACGCAGTGCAGCATAATCTAGGGAACAAAAGAAAGTGACGAACGACGCCTTCGTTAAGCCCTATCCTAACCTCTCCCTGATTCTACAGCATATCCCTAACTTTCGCCGCATCCCAAATGTTCGGTTTGGTGTCCTCTCATCAGCGTCTGTGTGATGGAGAAGAGATTTAAATCTATGAGCTGTTGTTCTTGGCTCTTCCCACGTTGCCGACCTGTCATTCTCATGGATAGGCGCTGAACCCACTTTAATGTATCGATGTCCTTCCGGAAGAATGGAGCTGAAGCCTGCAAACAATATTCCAGATGCGGAAGGACGGTTCTATTGTAAAGAGTGACAAATACCTCTGGTTTGATGCATGTCATCGTTGCGCGTAGACGAAACAGGTGTCCTCAGGCTTTGTTTTCGGTCTTCCCATATTGGGTGCTGGGTTTGAAATCTGCATGACCATTATGCATTGATCCTTTGCCTCGTGCACCCCTTGCATCGACAGGCTTCTTGCTCTCTCTTCGTCATTTCTGGTCGTTAGTATCTGATACTTAGAGACATTTAGTGGCAGGACCATTTCTCGGCTCATCTTTGTACTACCTTTATGTCTCTTGCTGGCTCTCATCCAGCTATCTTGACGTCATCCGCAAACAGAAAGCAGGGATTTTGGAGAGCCCGTGGCAGAAAGCTAACGTATAGCAGGAACAGAAGAGGTTAAAGTTCGGATGTCTGGGGTTCGCCGCTTGTGACCACTTCTTTCTAAGATGTGTAAGCTTCCACTTTGACACTAAACGTCCTGTGTGCGAAAATGCCCATTATCCAGCTCCTGACTTGCCCATCCACTCCGATTAATTGCATCCTATACTCTAACAGATGGTGGCTGACCGAGTCGAATACTTTCTGGAAGTCCAGATAGCACACCTCCATCGGTAGGCCCTCATCAATTCTACGTGTGACCTCATCTAGGAAAACCAGCAGATTTGTCAGACAAGATTGCTTTTCAAGAACTCCGTGATGAGCTGATACCAACAGCCCACTATTGACCAAGTAGTGGCATACTCGCCTTCTAACTGGGCGCTCCAAACATTTACATATTACTGATATCCAACGTGCGGGTCTGTTATTTTTCGGCATTTCGCCGGTATCCAGACTTGTGTATTGCCACTACTGTTGCTTTGCGCCAATCGTTCGGTACAGTTCCCAGTCTAAGCGACTCTTTAAATAACACGAAGATCGCTCCATCCATAATACTGAACATCTAAGCTACATCCTCTATTCCCAATCTTTTATGTTCTTCTTCTCCCGTGGCATATGCTGATCAGGAAGCAGTGTTCACCTTCACACCCATTCGAGATCCAGTACACTGGTCAACCTACATTGCTGATCAGTGGAATAGACATCCTTCTGGTGAAAACCTACACCAGGTTTGTCACTCATAATACTAAACATCCAAGCTCTATCGTTTATTCACAGTCCTTTTTATCGAGCACACTCCTGTGGCACATGCTGACCAGGCAGCAGTGTTCACTTAAACAGGCATTCTCCAACATCGAATCATCGGGCGAGAAATATTTGTTCTCCAGATAAACTGAAGGAAGAAGAAGATTTTCTAAGGAGAACATTACTAAGCAATGGCTACCCAGAAAGGTTTATAGATATTCACTGTAGACCAATTCCAAAAGTTAACCCGTCCCAAAACGTCGATAAAAAGGCCATCTACATCAAGCTTGCGTTCAAAAGTGATCACATTTACAATAATGTGCGCCAGAAGTTGAGGTCAGCCCTAGACAGTACATTACCAGCTGCTCAACTCAGACTCATCGCCTCCACTTGTGGAATCGATTTGGACAAACGTAAACATGGCTGGTAAACTAGTTCCGTCTCACACACNCAGTTCACCTGCAGTTGCGGTGACGCAAACATAGGCAGAACAAACCGTCAGCTGTTACAACGGATGGCCGAACATATTCCAAAGTGGTTGGTGAAGTCGATGACGCAACCAACAAATGATTGTCAAGTGATGGCAAGAAATCCAGGATCATCTGTTGCAAAACATCTCATG